GTTCCACATTGGTCCCTAGGACCGATGACTGAGTAACTGGGAGTGTCCCCAACACATCAAAATAGGATCGCATAGAGCTGATTCAGGATTCAATGTCATCCTTTATGTAGTATTTAGACAAAATCTGTGCCGCCTTTCTATCCATGTAGGGAAAGCTACAGCTAGGACCAGCGATTGCTGGGTCCGAATTCGGGGCTGCAACAGTTCCAGAATGCCCTGCACTGCCACTTGCCACTGCAACAACAACAGCAACAACAACGGGGTCTGGACCTGCTGCAGATCCGGATAGGTTGTTGACCACACTCAAAGAAGAAGAAGAAGAAGAAGAAGAAGAAGAAGAAGAAGAAGAAGAAGAAGAAAAAGAAGATATAGTCAGAGGGGCAAGAACGGACTGACACGCAACACTAGAAGCAGGGTAAGCAGACGGAAGGACACTTTGGGTTGGCCGCAGGTTAGCAAAATGTTGCAACTGGTCACGGTGCTGCTGTGCCATCAGGCCCATATCCTCGCGCAACTTCTTGAGTTCATCAAACACCTTGGCGAGTTGGCTAGTATGGTCTTCGACAACCCGGATTTCTACTAAGGCCCTGAGGAGTGGGACAATCTTCTCTTCCACCTCAACATCAATTAAGGCGGGCACGGTACTGAAGACGGTTTCATGAGCCTTTACTTTGTCTGCCTCTCCTTCTCCTTCTCCTTCTCTTCAATGCTTTTTCATAAAAGAAATGGTACTGCGCTTTTTCTGCCTCATGGGCAGCGTCCATTTGCAACTTCCACTCTGCTGCAGATGCCATGATGGAGGACGAGGGTGTCAATAAGTCTCTCAAGAGAGGTCCGTACTTTCCTCACACTTCTGGGACGAACACTTCTCTTCCCTCTCCTCACTCCCTCAAGAGCAATACTCAGAAGCTTCTCTCTTCTCTCTCTCTCTCTCGTTTGCGATCGTGTCGAGGCAAACATTTAATGAACCCAATGAAAGAAAGAATCTTGAAAGCAACTACAAGAGAAGGTAGAACTCCTAGCCGGAGCGACAATTCATTTGGACTGGAGAGTAGTCAAAACAAAAAAGTAAAGATCAGAGAGATCTGATTCCGCCACACAGTCTGTCCGGCTACGTATGAGGTCCTCTCAAGCCTAGCCGGACTCAGCTCCGTGAAGACACAGCAAATCAAATCCAAAGTGTTCTACATAAACGCAAAAGAGAATTGAGTGGTGTCCAAGGTGCGAGCCAGGTGGTGGATGATGCGGTAAAGTCCGTTAAAACGTCTCAACTGAGATCCCCTCAGCAGCAAGCGTCCTGGTCCATAAGCATGAACTCCGAGTCCCAATCAAATAGAGCAAGGTAACTAACGTCAACAAATTTGGGCCTAAGGGGCCCTTCTTGTTTGGGCCCGGTTCCACTGAGTCCCAAATGGTCCCAGTGGAGTTAGAATTGGGTCCCAACCAACAAGAGTTCCACAAAGACCTACTCTCTGCCCCTGCCGAATTGAAAAACGAAATTTAGCCCCAGAAAGAACCTACAGACTACAACCGTTCAGAATGAAATAAACAAAGTACTGTAGAAAGATATAGCATGGCACACAAGATACTCCATTCATTCACTCGTCAGGTAAGTAAGTAGTTCACACACCTCACACAAGATCACGACTATGGAGGATGGAAAAAGAACCCAGAATACCCCAGCAGGCAATCAATTCCATGCACACACACATGGGCACCCTGGCGGCGCGACACTTACCTGAGTGGCCGGACTCTTGAGATGAAAAGAAACTCACCCCCCTCCCACATAGTCCTCCCGACCCAATTAGCATCCTCTACACTAGTGTCCTATGATCTAGGAGGGTCAACATCTACCCCAAAGTACAACGCCGGATCCCCTGTCGATGTTGAAGATCAAAGTAGCAACTTGCAGTCCGTAGGTGCAGATATGGCTGCCACCCTGAAGCTCGCCTAACTTTAGGGGAGCCCTAAGGTCACTCCTCGTCTTCCTTGAAGTCCAGATTCAAGTTGTAGGTGCCCTTCACTGTCGCCTCTCTCCAACTGCATCAAGAAGTCCCACCTTGTGTCTCGCCACCACAAACATGAACTCAAGCAACCTGGCCGGGTCTAATGTCGACCCTACAGGGTCCTGCCAGGTGGGAGCAGCTTCCCTTCACCACGCTGCCCCACTTAACCCTAACTTCCAGCCCTAACCCTAAGTGGTTAGCCCTTACCACTTAGGTTAGGGTTATGGCGGCAAAGTCAACTCTCGCCAGCAAGTAGAATCCGCTGTGATACCAATGTTACGGAGCTGGCCAATTTCGAAGTATACATTCATCAGAAAGTACAATGCCGTCCAATTGCAAAAAGAAATGAATGAACTTGAGAGGAGAGAGAGGGAAAGAAGAAGAAGAAAAAGAGGAAGAAGAAGAAGAAGAAGAAAGAAAGAAGTAGAAGATGATGTACTCCAGCATAGACCAAATATAATGCTCTTCTTCTTCGCCAACCAATTTCCTCCTCCTTATCTCCTCCTCACTTACTCAAACAAGAAATAACAATAATAATGTTGAATGGCTGAACCAGAATCAATGTCCGAATCCCACTTCTACTGCAGGCACAACATGAGGTCCACCATAGCCATGGGCACCCTTCCTCTTCCTCTTCATGTAGGCCGAGGCGATGGCGGAGTACTGAGGGCTCTACCCTGCTGTCCAAAGGAAAACCCAAAGCAACTACGAGTCTATGTTGCTGCCCTCCTGTCCCAAAGTCAACATCAGGCAGCTATGACGCTGCCCACTCAACCACCATGCCTGACTCTGTCCCGAGCTTCCTTGATGCGGCACTGCCCCAACTGGGGCCTTACAGATGCAGCGCCTAACAAGGTGATGAAGATGATGTCCACCATAGCCAGGTAAGAACCTCGCCACTCTCCTCCTTGGTCCTCTTCTCCCTCCTCCTCTTACCGGTAGAGCTCCACCATAGCCAAGGTGGAAGCTCCCGGCTTCTTCCTCCCAGCAGCGCTGTAGTGGCCATCGCTACTCCAGCCAACACTCCAGCAGCGTGTCGCCAAACTTGCACACTGAAGAATGAGGCCGGGCTCTTCCCTCGGCCTCTTGATATAGCGGCCTACTTGCCTCCTGGGCGGTGACTTCCAGGCCGCTCGGCCTCCCAAGCAACCGGTACCTCCTCCCTTTCGGAGGGAAACATCATTGCAGACTCTGATATTGCCCGTACAGGCYCTAGACTCAGACTGGATGGACTGGTACCGRCCTAGACCTAGCCTACCGCTACTGGGCCTCTAAAAATGCCAACTTTGTCTTCTTCTGCTCGGCCTCGAGTACCCGRCACATCTACTGCTACTGRGTGCGGTACCGGCCTACCTGCTACTTGAGTGTTTTTCGGCTGCTCCAAGTGCCATGGGCCCCTGGCTCCGCTACTTGAGTGTCTTCCCTGCTGCAACCCTCAATATCACGGCCGCAGGTAAGTACCGGCCCTACGGGCCTCCCAAACAAGCAAGTACCCTTGCGGGTCACACACACACTCATGCCAACAAGCACTCGGACAGGCACGCAGGTCCACAAGCACACACACGTACAGACTTAGAAACTCAGCAGAATGCGGGAATCTCAGCAAGACATCCATTCCATCAGCAGAACTTCAGAAATCAGCAGTGTTCTCAGTCAGTGTTATGGCGGGTCATTACAAGAAGAAGAAGAACAACAACAACAACAAGAAAGAAGAAGAAGAAGAAGAAGAAGAAGAAGAAGAAGAAGAAGAAGAAGAAGAAGAAGAAGAAGAAGAAGAAATGGAAGAAGAAATGGAAAAAGAAGAAGAAGAAGGGCGGCGACGAGGACGACGACGACAACGACGACGACGAAAGAAGAAGAAGAAGAAGAAGAAGAAGAAGAAGAAGAAGAAGAAGAAGGACGACGACGACGACGACGATGACGACGACGACGACGACGAAGAAGAAGAAGAAGAAGAAGAAGAAGAAGAAGAAGAAGAAGAAGAAATGGAAGAAGAAATGGAAGAAGAAATGGAAGAAGAAAAGGAAGAACAAGAAAAGGAAGAAGAAGAAAAGGAAGCAGAAGAAAAGGAAGAAGACGAAGAGGAAGAAGACGAAGAAGAAGAAGAAGAAGAAGAAGAAGAAGAAGAAGAAGAAGAAGGACGACGACGACGACGACGACGACGACGAAGAAGAAGAAGAAGAAGAAGAAGAAGAAGAAGAAGAAGAAGAAATGGAAGAAGAAATGGAAGAAGAAATGGAAGAAGAAAAGGAAGAAGAAGAAAAGGAAGCAGAAGAAAAGGAAGAAGACGAAGAGGAAGAAGACGAAGAAGAAGAAGAAGAAGGAGAAGAAGAAGAAGGAGAAGAAGAAGAAGGAAGGAAGAAGAAGAAGAAGGAAGGAAGAAGAAGAAGAAGAAGAAGAAGAAGAAGAAGAAATAAGAAGAAGAAGAAGAAGAAGAAGAAGAAGAAGAAGAAGAAGAAGAAGAAGAAGAAACACTCTACTACCAGACTCCTACAAGTCATGCTACCCCCAAAGGTACCAACTCTTGTCATCTTCTGGTTGGCCTCCCGCTACTTGAGGGCTACCGGCCTAGACCTCGCGCTACTTGGATGACCCCAAGCTACCCCTGTCGGCCACTTGCGTGTTTTTCCCGCTGCAACCCCCGAAGTCACGGCCGCAGGTAAGTACCGGCCCGTCGGGCCTCCCAGACAAACAAGTGCCCTGGCGGGCCACACACACACTCACGCCGGCAAGGCACACAGACCATCAAGCACGCACTCACACACAGACTTAGGAAACTCAGCAGAACGCGGGGATCTCAGCAAGGCATACATTCCAGCGGCAAAACTCACAAATCAGCAGTGATCTCAGTCAGTGGTTTTGCAGGTCATTACACTTGTCGTTCCTTTTTTGTGGAAATTTTCCTTAATTTTCTTCTTTGTCATTTCTTCTTCCCATAAATCCGTGTATGTCTTCTAATTCTTGGCTTGCTGAAATGCAAAATGCCAATCGCAGGTTTCACTGGGAGAACCAGGTCAGGTATGATTTCCTGCTTCAGACCCAACTCAGGGCTCTGAACCTGACCACCAGACAAAAGATCCAGGCAAGACAATTTGCGATTCGTGTGGCCCTTCCCATTGTCAGAAATAGGTAACTCTCTCTCTCTCTCTCTCTCTCTCTCTCTCTCTCTCTCTCTCTCTCTCTCTCTCTCTCTCTCTGTGTCTGTCTCT